GAAGCAATCTGTCGTGCGCCCACCATCTGAAAAGCCATCGGAGCAGTCAGAAGATCGCTTTGCTCATGGGCGGAACACTAAGCAAAACCGAAATCAATGGTTTTCAGCACACTTTCACTGTTTTGTCACTTGATCACTTGCTCAGGCAACGCGAGAGCTTTGTGGCAAACTCACTGTGTAGCAGAGTACATGCTTGGCATTACTGAGTACTACTTGGTGGGCTTTGGGTTCCAAGGGTTCCACGAACCTGCGAGGCTACGGAATAAAATTCCAAAAGCGCTCCACAAGGTTTCCACCAGGTTCTGCAAAAGCTATGGGGCAGCCTTGGGGAAAGGTTCCAACAAAGTTTCACGCTGAGCCCAAGAGGGTTCCACGAGAACGGTCTGCGAGGTTCACCGGGCAGGTCTGGGACCGTCGGGGCCCAATCGGGCCCCGATTGCGTCGTCGGGCCCCGATCGGGCCCCGATTGCGCCGTCGGGCCCCGATTGCGCCGTCGGGGCCCGATTGGGCCCCGATTGTGCCGTCGGGCCACCAGGGCGCGATTGCGCTGTCACTCTTAGCTTTGCTTCACAAAGTTACAAGGCGGCATCCTCAGCAAAACCGGCGGTGAGGTGGGTCTCGGCGCGGGTGTGGTGCTGTTGGGGGGTATCGCCTGAGCTTTTTTTTTCTCCGTCATCGACTTCTCATTGGCTGGTTTCGCACCTCTTTGCTGCGAGGTGCGATTCGTGTCGTGAGGTCCTGATGAACCCTGCGGGCACTTTCGTGGCCACCGCGGGCTTCGCCGGTCTCGAAGTCTTCGCGCTGGGCTACGCCGACGCCGCGCCGGCGGCGCCGGCGGTCTGAGAGCGGCGGAAGGGACCGACGACTTGGTAGGAGGTCTGGCACTTGCCATGGGGAAGGTGAGAAACATCCGAGGTCCGAGAGTCTAGGTTTCCAGGGATCCGGATCTTTCAAGAAAACCACCAAAAACCCATAAGAACTGGCTGGTTTTTGAAAAAATGGGCTGAAAAGAATGGGGAATCAACCCCTAGACAGGGCTTGAAAAAGGTTGGAGGTGTCAGCCACGTCTCTGTTTCCCTTCTATTTCCTCGCAGTACAGAGAATCACGCAACGCTTTGCGTGGCTGGAAGTTTGGTTTCGACCAACCGCGTCCCCGCGACGCAAAAGGCGCCCCTTATGGCGAGTTTCATCACCATGCCACAGGGCCGAAGAGCCCCGAAGGTATGGCAAGGCAAGCGCACCTGCAAGTTCTTTAAGTTCTGAGTGCAGAGGTTGTAACACATGTCGCTATGCTGTTTTGTTTTCTGGGGGTTAGGTCAGAAGCTTAAAAAACAACTTGTTTCCCCCGCTTTTGTTTTCCTCTTTTTCCTTGTTTCTTTTATTTTCTTTTGTTTACCTGCCACTTGGTTTCGTCGTAGGATAATTTCTCCAGATAGTTGAAAGCTCGCCAGGGCTTGCAAGCGCCAAGCCGCTTGCTTCGAGAAACATAGGATTGGTATGATTATGTTTCCAAAGTGGGTGACGCCCGGAAGAATGGAGCTTAGCCAGTAAAACCACCCAAAAGGGTACACTGAAAAATAAGTAATATATTTATATACTACTGCATACACACTCACACATAATATATATTGCAATTTCCATTGAAGGATGGCACCGCGCAGACCATAGTGGTCCTGTGGATGGACAAAATGCACTTCGCGCCAGCTATGGCGGTTTATCCTGCAGGGTTATGTCAATCCACAGTAGGTCACATGTAAGGATCCCTGCTGAGCAAGCTGCCTGTTGTTCTGGGATTGCCAAGGCATGTCAACTGGGGATTGCTAACAGGGGTCCCCCAAAGGCTTTTGGGCGCCTGGAACATATTGAGGTTCCATTGTTTAGTTTTGTTGGAGCTTCCTTTTGAGATTTGGACTTGAGGTTCCAGTTGGTTGAGTATTGGTAGACTTGATTTTGCACTTGATTTCGTATTACTGGAGCTTCGTTTTTTGCTGGATTTTAGTGTCCATTCGGATCTTCCTTCTGAGGTTTTATTTGACATTCCATTTGGTTTAGTATTGCTGGAGCTTCTCTTTGAGTTTGAATGTGAGCTTTCTTTTGATTTCGCATTGCAGGAGCTTCCTTTTGAGTTTGGAGTCCCCTGAAATAATGTCAACTTTGGTGGCTGAAGTACTTTTTAAGAAGAGAATGAGTTTGGGAAGCTGGGCATTTGGGATTTTGGGAAGCAGCCCCAAATATGAGAACGAAGCCGAAAGCTTCAACAGCATCACCTGGGCTGCCTAATTGGTTAAATAGCCAAGAGGCAGTTACACTGGGCAGGTTGTATATTTCCAGTGGGCCAGCATTTTTTCTATGTCTTGGGCTTAGAATTTGGAGGTCTGAAGTACCCCCCCTCCCTTGGGTCTGATTGCGGGCAGTTTTGAAAACAAGGGACATGTTTGTTTTTGTTTTTTCTTTCAACTGGAGCTGAAGAGCGAGGTACCGCAGAGCCAGATGTTGGCGTCCTCTCCTCTCCTTCTGGTTGTCTCACTTGCCCAAAGGGAGTCGACCTGATCTGAGCTTTTGGTGATTTGGTCCATATTTACTAGAGGCCTCAAAAGGTGATCACATTTTGTTTTCAGGTTCTTTGAGCAAGCGAGTTGTTCCTTTGTCCCTTCTTTTTGTTTTGAAAGGCAGCCGGGCTGGGGGTTTGTCTTCACAAATCACGGTTGGCTTTTGCTTCTTTTGTTGGAGGGGCTTGGTTTTTGTCAGTTGGTCCACCCCAAGCTTTTGACCTGTTGGTCTTCCCATGGTCCATATGTCACCTTGAAAGATTTCAGCTTCTGGTCCCAGCTCCTTTGGTTTCTAAAAGTTCGGATTTCCTCGGGCCATCCCCACCCTTAAACATGGAATTGGGGCCAGGGGTGACCCCTGGGGCGAAGCACGTGGATTTTTTTTCCGTGCTCTAACCTTAGTAGTGCCAACTTTTACCCTTACTTTCTGGGAGGGTTCCGAACCCTACCAAAATAGACAGCAGAAAACAATTGGGTACCCTTATTCTAACCTCTCTACTGGAGGACCTAGGCACTTAAAGGGACAGCCGCGGTATGTCAGGAAACCTGGTCAAATACTCCACAAAACCCATGTTTTGTCAGTCTCCGTTGAGCTGCGTTATTTTGCCAGCCTTACGAGCCACTTCCTAAGTGCCCGATCGCCCCTTTAAGCACGAGTGACAGAGACACCACAAAATGAGCATTTCTTCGGTCGATGTGTTTTTCGGTTTGACCGCCAATCCCTGTCGCATGTTTAATCCCTGGCGTCGGGTCTAAGATCCGATGGCAAGTCACTGGCAAGTGGGAGTAAGATCGACTGGTAGCACGCTGGGGAGTGTCACTTGGTAGTCTGCATCGAGCTGCATGAAGTAGACCGCCTTGCTGAGCTTTTATTAAGTTTGCCTTTTGCATGGATCTCTCAGCGCAGTCCGAAGGAGCTGTGCTGGGGAAAATTGCGCCCCCCCCGTTTGCGGCCGGACCTGCGTTGAGGCACTCGTCGGCCAAATCCAGCGTTCGTTTGATTTTGGAACTGCCCGATGTGTTGCAAGTAGGTGATTGATCCCAGAAAGAAGAATTTGGCTTGTTTTGGGGGACAGGTGGGTATGCGTCAAAATTAAACCACCAGTGGACTGCAGGTTTTGGTCCATGTCCCCACTTACTAGGGTTCCATTTGGGATACCTCTTTGATCTGACCCACAGCCAGATCACGAATGGGGGTGGAGCTATCTATTTCCCACAGAAGAACCAAAAACGGATCGCCGAGTCGACTCAGCTGAAAAACAGTTTCCAGGTCCGGCCTCCCGGAACCGCAATGGGCCAAATCAATGCACAACTCGTTTCGGCCCAGCCTCAAGGCGCGTGTCACCATCTTGCCTAAAGGGAATCGACGTGGTTTGATCTTTTGGTTTCTTTGATGCGGCTCATATTTAGTAGAGGTCCCAAAAGGTAATCACCTTTTGTTTCCGGGTCCTTTGAGCAAGTGAGCATCATGCTGAAACACACGTCCGACGGGAAAAGCAATTTCCGTCGCTGCAGGGGAAAAAGCGAGATGGTAGTCTGCGTGGCTGTCTAGATTCTTGAACGTGCACCCCAACTTCACTAGTAGAACCCACTCCCCCACCGCTATTAGAACGCCCCCCCCTCTCACTATGAAAGATCCCGAGCAGCACTATGATTGGGACAGTCTTCAACAAACGTGTTCGGATGTGTTCGGGGTCTCACGGTCTGACCCACGTGCCTCTTATCAAACCCACCACATGGTCTGTCTTTAAGTAGGCGCCCCGTCCAGAGAAAAGAAGCAACAAAAAACACGCGCACACACACACAAACAAATTATTACTACTTTCTTAACAGCAAACGCGGGGCATCATTGCATGTGCAATCATATCAAGGTTTTTGCACATTCCCCAAACTCTCCAATAACGCATCCCCTTAACAAGACATCTTAAATGTGTATGGCTGTTTGGTTGCATCTTTGGACTTCAACTTTTTGGCCCAACCAGGTCGGAAATTCTTACTTGGACCCACAACAAAAGTGGACAGCTTTTCGCAGAGGGGCCGTTACCGCCAGCAACCAAGAAAACACCGAAAAAAACCCGAGGTATTCTTACACTACACCCTGAAACACCGCCTAGAAACCAGACGTCTTCTTACACCACACCCCTCAAAAAACCCACCTAAAAACCAGAGGACCAGAGGTCTTCCACCTAAACCAGAGCATTTGGGTACATGTTTTTGAGCCACGTAGCCAGGTCGTTTCCGCCTGAAAAACCCGAAAACCAGAGGTCTTCTTACACCACATCCTGAGAAAACGACTGGCATGTTGAGGCAGACTTAACTTGCTGGTTCTCAGCAGGGAACGAGGGAATGACCCCTATAAACGATCCCCCATGCTTTCCCCCATGCTTTCCCCCATGCTTTCCCCCATGCTTTCCCCCATGCTTTCCCCTGTTTTTGGTGACACGCCCTTAGGAAGGAGTCACTGACAGTGGGCTTCCTTGCCGGCTCCTTGCGGGACCACCTGGAGAAGTCTGGCTGCCCGTCTAACATGTCTCGTCCCATCTGAAGTAACATGTGCTCGCTATTTGGTATGCCACGATCGGGCGCAGCCTCTTGCGGCTGCAAGCCTCTGCATTTTCACGAATTCTGGCTATTTGCTTACGGATCTTTGGACTAAACAGTGTTTTGGGTTGAAAGCTGAACACTTTTTGCAGAGGGGGCCCTGCTTCCCTAGCGAAAGGAAACTCGTGTGCAAGACAGTTGGGGTTGCTCCAAAGGCGGTGTTTGTATAGGTCCATTGGTCCGAAACGATGTTGGGGCAGCTCATGTCAAAACCAGCTGATTCTCTGATTGCAGTGGTTTTGTTGTTTCCCTTTATTTCCCTTTCTTTTGTCTTATAATTGAGTTTCTGTTCCTTTCAGCCACGCCTATTTTTTGCCGTGGGCCTTTGTCAATGAATCCAAGTGGCCCGGGTTCGGGGGCTTAGCATGGAATTGTAAGGGCTCCGCAACCTTGTGCGCAGAGCGAACCCGTTCTTCCATTTGCTTAAGCGCACTTCCTGAGTTGGTGGACTTTAAACTTTTTGGAAAGACCATTTTAGTGGTAAATAAAAAGTTCAGACCATTGTGGGTGGGGGAACCTCTTAGGGATTTGTTCGGGCAAACGAGGCGGGCATTTTGAGGGGCCCCATGATCAGCGCAAGCCCTGCAAGCCGCGCCAACTTGCAAGGATGCTGTTGGTTCCAACGAATTTGCAGTGCGCCAGCGGGTGTATCCAACGGAGCCTGGGACCCAGAAAGTCGGACCCAGATGGTATATGGACCTAACAGCCGAATACATGGCTTCCCAAGTCAACGGAAAATATCAGGGTGGGCCTTGGGTCCGAGTTTGGTCCCTTTGAAGTCGGACACACGACTTCCCCCGTGTCTGGACTTCACGTTTTCTTGACTGCTATTGGGTTGGATCTTTACACTTTAACTTTTTGGTGGAAATCAAGTTGGCTATCGAAAAGATCTTCTTGCAGGGGGTCTCGCCATCAACCAAGTTTTAGCTCATGTCCGGCTCACGTAGGCTACGAGCCGGGGGCGCGAATCTCCAAGTAGTTCGAGCAACTTCTGGTGGAGCCGCAGAAGCTCTGCCAATATTTTCCTGGAGCTTCCGGACTTCAAGCCTTTGGGTCCATTTTTGGGGCAAAAAGCTTGATGGCCGTTCGCTAGCAGGTCTCTTTAGTTTTTTGTTTTTTTTGAAATCAAGGGTTTTCCATTTAACCCATAAAGGTTTAAAGCATCTTGCAGAGGGGTCAACAGCAACCAACAAAAATTGAAAGTTTGAACTCTTGTTGGCCAATCCATTTATCAGCTCCAGAGTCGCTACTAGCCCCATTTTGGGATTGGGCCCTACTGGTTGGCCCTTGCCAATTACAATTAAGTTTGGAAACTTGATCCGTTTTGAGGGGTTCAGATGGGTGTGTTTTTGTTGAGGCTGGGTGCCGGTTGGTTTGGGTTGGTAGGGAAGCCAAAAGGAGTCGCTTTTTTTGACGCCGTCTTAGGATCGCAAAGATCGTTGACTCCGTGGGCGTGGATGTTGCCATTCTTTGTGATATGCTTGATCTCGTCTACGAGGACCCGACCTTACAGCTGATCGGACGTGTTTGTTCAAGGCTCGATACACGTTTTGCTGTTTGCTGTTTAACGGGAACCCCGGATCAATAACCGCTGGTTGAGTAATAGGGGGGTGTCCCCTTTTAGTGGGGATTCATCACTTTTGGAGGGAACACCCCCGTAATATTGGGGACGGGTTTAATCCCGGGTCAACATCAATGGGAACAAGTGAATATCCATTTTTTTTGGGTGGGGGTGCCGCCTAGGTACCTACCTAATGTTAATGTTGACCCGTGCCATGGCCATGTGGTGATTGGGTGCTAAAAAAAGGATTGGTAATTATTACATTTTTTCCAGAGCCCCCCTTTGCACCCTCCCTTCCACTAACATAGCAGCTGTAGGAGGGTACCTGGATCATTTTGCTGTTGTAGTGGGAGTGAGGGTAGGTGTGTTTGTTGTATGCACTCATTTTGGCAGTTCGACTGCAAAAGGATCCTGGCAGATGCCCCGTTCTTTGACAACCCCAAAGCGAACTTAAACCCAGGGGTTGATTAAAGGGAAACCCCTGGCTTGAAGTCTACCTTGGGGTCGTCAAAAAATGGGACCCTGTCTGGGCTGGTGTCCGCCCAGCCCAAAGAAGTGCACAGCCAGGATGCCGAGCGTCGGGGCAGCGTGGGGCTGCCCTTCGAGGACATCGTGGAGCTGGTTCTGAGCATCTCGCAGCGAATGGCTGGATGACAAGGAATGCACAGAATGAACAGATTCTTCCATTTGCTTAAGAATATTTGTTATTTTCCCCTGTTGGTTTTAAAGGGAATCGGTTTCACTGCTGGACATATTTTTTGCAGGGGTCTTAACCTAATAGTCTAAGCAAAAAGTTTCGACTTTTTTCGGCCAGTCCACTCAGGAAGTGCGCAGTTGTTCAACGGACCACACGCGTCAAATCAATCGCCTCCCCCTAAGCATAACATTCCCCCCTATGAAAAAATATTGGCCGGGGGCAAAACGATATCTATCAATACCGTGGATGAACGAAATCCGGCACCACCAAAAAAATCTGGGGTGCTGCTTCCCCTGTAAATATCAACAAACAATGGTTTTGCTATGGTTTCAAAGTGGTGCAGGATTTCGTCCACCCACAGTAGGGTAATTGGGGGTCAGGCGGGCGTCCAAAGTGTTTGGCTTTTTAATTCTGGTGAGTACAGGGTTAGTACCGGGAGCCAGCCAATGAGCACCCTCTGTGGAAAGGCTCAGAGGTGTTACTTTGCAGAACGCAAACGTTGGAGGGAGAGAGCTGGGTTTTTTGAATTCTGGCATGGGGTCGGTGCAAGGAGCTCGGGTCCTGGACTGCCCCGAATAGTATTGGTAGTGGTGACCCGGCGGTCTGGCAAAATCAATGTTTACTGTTTGGTGCATTTTTTGCTTGACTGTTAGGACTGAACAACTTTTTGATCCAACGAACTCGGGTTTTCCGTACTAAACCACTAGAAGTTATTCACCTTCTAGCAGGAGAGCGGATTTCGCAACCGAGTTCTCCGTGCGAGTGCTAAACGTGGCTTGTGCTTGAGGGCCGAACTTTCGGAGCCGAGGGGCCCGGGATGCCGGGAATGAGTCGGGACCAAAGGAGCCCTGCCCTTGGTGGGACCCTCCCGCCCATTTTTATTTGGGACCTGAGGTTTCGGTTGTTTGGACCATGTTCCTTGTAAAGGGGCCGGGTCCCGAACTTTGTTTTTTGCCCTTTGCAAAGGGTGGGAGGGTTTCTCCCAAGTTTGGTTGAAGACTTGTTTGATCGGGGGAAGTGATGGTGCCGTTTAATGTTGGCTCCATAATAGTCAACCCCAGTTTATTAATAGGGGGTGGTTTTTGGCCCCTGTGGACTGATTCCCACCACGTTTCACCCAGGGGAGAAGCACCTCTTTATGAAAAAACTGGGGTTGAGAAAAATATGGGTGAACATTCGCCGCCTCACTTCGTCACTTCGAAGTGAACTCTGAGGCATGCGGGGCTCGAATCCCGCCACTTTGAAAGACGTGAAGGAAGCCTCAGGCGGGCCGCTAAGTTTGCTCACTGAGTGATTCCGCAAAACTCGCTTGAAGAAACTCGACCTTTTAACCTTTTGGTTTCTCTGATTTGGTCCGACCCCTAGTAGAAGTCCCAAAAGGTTAACATTTGATTTCCAGGTCCTTTGAGCAAGTTACCATTTGCTTAAGACATTTTGTGTATTTTCCCCTGTTGGTTTGAAAGGGAATCGATTTCACTACTGGACATATTTCTCTTTTTTTGAGGGGCTAATGGAAGAAAGGGAGTTTTCCATGCAAACCTCGGCCTCGAAACCGCTTCCAAAGAGCTTACCCTCACAAAGGGACGATTTTGGTGCCGGGTCAACCATGTCCCAGGATGCCACCAATAACTCAGTCGTTCAAGCCCAACCTTTTGAGCTGTTGGTTTTCCTATGTTGGGTGATGTTGGTCCATGTTTCGTCACTAACTCAGTTGTTCAACCCCAAGCTTTTGATGAGTCATGACCCCAAAAGGTGATCGCCTTTTAGTCCAAAAGCATCCTTTTGCTGGGTCACTGAGCTAAGCCTTGCGGGCCGCGAAGCCGCCGAGCGCGCGAGGATCAACAAGCTCATGCCTTTCGATGTGGAGCAGCGGTTGGGCGAGAACCTGGGGATGCAAACAGCGCGGGGTGCGTTTTAGGGCTGGTTTAGGGTTGGTTTAGGGTTGGTTTAGGGCCGGTTTAGGGCCGGTTGGTTAAGTTTCTTCTTGGCGGTTGCGGGGTGCGGGCGAGAAGGGTTTTCGAGGTTCGAAGTGGGAAGGTTCCCCATTCTTCAGCTTCCCTTGAAGTGGTGGCTGGTGGTTAAGGAGGGGTTTCCCATTTATCCTCTACAAAAGCCCAGAAGTTCAAATCCCAAATCACCAATCCCAAATCGCCAATCCTAACCACCAAGGAGATACCTGAATTCGCTTCACATCAGCTCCCCTCCAGTTGCTTTGGTTGGGTGGGTTCCTCAACACGAAAGAGGTCTTGAATTCCAAACCACCAATCCACACCAAGGTGGGGAAGCTGACATCGTTCTCTTTGTTTCTCTAGGTTTCCATATGTCTAACACCTTGGGTGCTCCCTGAAGCACTTTAATTCGAGTGATCCCCACCTTTGGAAAAAGCAAGCAGAGCACTGGCACGGAAGCTCTTTTCTCAAGGTCCGGTGCAGATTGTGTGGTACACTTTCGCAAGGTTAGGCACAGGTAGAGAGATATACAGATAGAAAGATAGATATAAAGTAGAAAGCAAGTAGTAAGGTAGTTAGATTGATAGATAGACAGGTAGAAAAGAAGGATTGATGGACGGATGGATGGATGATAGATAGATAGATAGTTAAGAAATAAGATAGATAGATATGTAGGTGTTTATAAAGTCTAGAGACCTTCACTTGAGAGGTGGGAAACAAAGAAAACAGGCGGGTAAGCTTCTAGTGACATGATGTTCACTCTCACACGGACCTTTGCCTGGTGCTCTTTGAGGCAGAAAAGCCGTCTGTTATCTGCGGAGCGGCTCGAAGAACGCTGGTCAGAGAAGCGCGGACTCATCCCTCGAGTGTTTGGAACCCACGGGTTGTCAGCCGTGAGACGTTGATGTCTCAAACTGCTCGCCATCAGCGCGCCGAAGACCATCGGCCCCTTGCGGCCTTGAACATCCACGGTGCGCGTCAGCGCGTCGGCCCGGAAGACCGGGAACCGCAAGCGAAGAAGCGCAAAACAGGATGGGTTGAGCCGAAGTGCCCTCAGAATAAACGCAAATATAGGTAGACGCAGAGACAGATACATAGATCGATAGACAAATAGACAGATAGGCACAGAGAGAGAGAGAGAGAGCGGTAGATAGAGAGATGGATAGATAGATAGAGAGATAGAGAGCTAGAGAGATAGAGAGATAGAGAGGTAGATAGACAGACAGACACGTAGATAGATTAACAGGTAGATAGATAGATAAGGTGAGATTAAGTAGGCCCTTCGAAACTCTGGCCCCGAAAAGTCTGGCTCTTTGAAAAATCCAGCGCAGCGCACTCCGCAGCCAGCAGCGCTAAAAGTCCAGCGCAGCACACTCCGCAGCCAGCCCCGCAAAAAGTCCAGCGCGGCGTACTTCGCAGCCAGCCCCGCAAAAAAGTCCAGCATAGCACACTCCGCAGCCGGGTTCGCAAAAAGTCCAGCGCAGCATGGTCCGCAGCCAGCCCCGCAAAAAGTCCAGCGCAGCACACGCCGCAGCCAGCCCCGGTGTAGGAAGTAAAGGGGAACGGGAGGACAGGAGGATGAGGATGAGGAAGAAGAGGAGGAGGAAGTTGGAGGAAGGCGATGCTGAGACAACATCTAGAGACCCTCACCCGAGAGGTGAGTCATTCGGGGGTAGTTGGGTTTTTGTTGTTTGGAACTTTCAGGTTCCAAACTTCAAGAAGGTTAATCTTTCAATTGTGTTTGCAATAAAAAATGACGAAGATCGTACAATCCGGGGGCGTTTGGAGAATCGCCTTTCGGCTTTTTGCGCCTGAGGCGATTGCAGCTGGAGGTGGAGAACCTGAAGACGGACATACAGGAGTGGAGGAGGACATGAAAGAAGAAGGTGGGGGATCGAAACAAAGCTGGTTGGCGCTTTCCTTTTTTTTCTTTTTTTTTGGGAGAGGGGACTCCTCTTCATATCAAGAAAAGGGCAGGTTATACACATAGTCGGTGGTTAGAAAGCTTGATCAGAACCCACTTACCAAGCTACTAACCACTTGCGAATGTCCCTGCTCCTTTGAGTACCAAAAAGGGCCCTTTTTTCCACGGATTTCCTCTGGTGGTCGGGGACACGACTTGTCAGCCCATCAGGGCTCAGAGATCTCCGTTGGACCCAAGTAAGTAGGGCATCGTACTTCCTGAGTTCCTCGACCCCATACTGGCAAATAAAAAGTTTGGACCTTTTCTGGCCCATCCACTTGGACATTTAGCTAGCTTGTTCAAAACTTTATACCCAATGAATTGCGCTGCTTATGGATTAGATGATGATTGCGGATTGCGGATTATGGTTGCACAGGTTGCCCATGTTCCAACATACGGTTGACCCACGGTTTGCAGCACGGATTACGGGTTAAGAAGATTACAAACTCAAACAAGGATTACGCGGATTACGGTTTGCGAATAGGCCCCGAAGGATTTCGATCAGCTTAGTGCCTCTTTTTCAGCAACTTGTGCAAAACTATACTCAAGTTTTTACTAGGGTTGGCTGCATGGTAATTGAGGCAACCCTGAATTGGGGAATTTGTGCTTTGGGGATTTGACCCCCCGTGCCCCGGAACACCTCCAAGCCACCTGTTCAAACCACCAATTGAAGGAAGCTGAGTAATTAAGTTCCAAGACTCCGGCAGGGGTACACCGAGGTGACCATCAAGGTTTTGCTTGCGGAACCCATTGTCATTTCAGGTCGCTTCCGGAACGGGGAAAAAACATCCGGATCCTCTGGATGGCACCCCTTGATCCTGGGTGTTGGATAGATTTGTTGGTTGTTTGGTGTTCCGCCGCAATGGAAGTGGACGTTTGGGCCGGTTTCTAGAGGGTGTTCCACAACCTTTGCAACCAACAGGGCAGGGCTGTAGACATCAGTGCCCGCACGGGGTTCTGTAGTTGGATCCCAAATTCCTGCTGCACACAAGGACGTGGATCTTGAGATGCTGGCAAAGGTGCAAAATGTCCCAGTAGGAGACCCCTTTAAAATCCACTGATCCCCACACTAGGGGAGCCCTCCTTCGAATGTAGTTCGTGGAAGACTCCCAGACACCCAGTGGCTAGAGGCCGTGTTTGTGGGTTGTTTCCTTTGTTCCAGTTTGCTTGGAAACGGTAACTTGCAGATTGCTAAAACGCAGCTTTCTACAAACGCCGCTTATATTACGCCGATCTTTTGGACAAATTTTCCGACTTGACGCCAACCCCCGAATCGATGCGATGCGTTGAACTCGGGGTCCCCTTGGCAAAACATGGGCCCTTTCCAGCCTTCCGTTTCGTTTTTGCTTTAGCGTATGTTTTTTTTTCCCCCTGTTGGTGTTAAAGGACATCGATTTCACTATATGTTCATTTTGTCCAGGGGGCTTAATAAACGGAGCTCGTAAGGCAATGTTCAATTCATGTCGGCTCAACGGGGATCCCAGAATTTCCCGTTTCGAGCATCACCTTGGCGCATTCAAGGCGCATCACCCTAGGGGTGATGTTGGGGGCAAAGGGACAAACAAGCCAAGCATAGTTTGCAAGGCCATTTGGGGTGCGCCACGCACACATACCTCCTAGGCAACAATGTTTTTGGACTACCCCAGTTAAAGATGCTAGGTTCAAAGATGCTGCGCTCGGGATTGCCGCAGCGGAGCAGCGCCAAGGCTGCATTGACTGGGGGGAAGAGGCTTATGAGCAGTTTCCTTACCCTGTTAGAGTCCAACAGCCAGTTGCTTTCAAGGGGATCCTCCCAATCATGGCGGCTTATTTGCCAACTATTCGGGGGTTTCCCAAAAGCGGGGGGGGGGGGAAACACGACGGGTGGTGTCCTTTTGGTTCCCTTTTAAGTCCACCATGTTGAGAAACCCCAAAGTATGCCACGCCTATGCATGTGCCTCTGGGGATTCTTCTCGGCAGTGTTGCGGTATAATTTTTGCACATTCAGGGGTTCCTCCATTTTCCTTTTTGGAACCTCAAGTGGCAGCTTTAGAAAAACATCACCGGTAAGTTGATCAACCTTTGCAGAAATCCCGTGACCCCCGCCAGAGATGTTGCAGTTTGTCTTGTGCAGTAATCAGAGCTTTTCTCTGTTGTTGCTTAAATCAACTTAACCTGGAAGGTGTTCGGATCCGCGGATCACTCACCCAGATGTTTTGTTGATCCGGGGTCGCCTTTAGGGTGGTTAACCCCAGCCCCTTTGAAAGCCGCGTGGGGGAATGCACACGATGTCCAAGCCGTCAAAGCAAACCAATTTGGCTAGGTCCCCCAGTAGTGCCCTTTGTCACCCTTTTTTTGGTTGGGAGGGTTCCCCTAAAAAGGATACCCTTATTCTAGCCTCTCTACTGGAGGACCTAGTTGGGGGGAAGCTGATTAAGTGGTTAGTTCGACCACACCATAGGCAGAAAGGTTTACAACACCTAGGCAGAACCAGGGGGGTGCCTTGACTCATCCCCCGAAGGGTGGTTTCAATCATTACCTTGTGCCAATTTGAAGTGAGCCACAATCAAAACCGGGTAGATGAAGGGAGGCAGAATCCCAACCGTAAATGTCCAAGAAGCCTTCAACATACCTTTTGAGCATACCGACGGTCCCATCATGATAATTGCTTCCATTTAAAGTGTCTCATATTCTCGAAAAATGTTTTTTGTCATGACTCAAGTGAGTATTGCAACCTGGCTATGAATTTTAATGGGGAAGGCCGTCAATTGCGGTTGACGGATACCAACCCCCACCTAAACGATGCCCACCAAAGGGCCCCTAAGCAAAACACACACTGGCCGTTTCCTTTAAACCAACTGGTCCAAGGCACCCACGACTAGCCGACAACAAGGCCTTCCCTAGGTCCCCCAGCTAGGTGCCCTTTTACCGTTTCTTTTTTTGGAGGAGGGCTCCCCTACTAAAATAGACCACAGAAAAACGGGGACCCTTATTCTAAGCTCTCTACTGGAGGACCTGCCTGAAGCTGGAGACCTGAAAGCCCGCCTTGAAACCGGGGGCTGGGACTGGAAGCATAGAAAAACGGGTGTGTCTTTTTTTTTCTTTGGGGGGGGGCCGTCAGGATTCCAGGGGCACCTTCCATTTCCATTCGTTCCAGGGATCCTTCTTTCTAGAACACCTCCGGAACCCCAGGGCAAATGGCTGGTTTTTTGAAAAAAAAGATGGTTGAAAAGAATGGAAGAGGAATCAACCCCTAGAAGGATGGGTGGTTTTCCTTTTCCGCTCCTTTTAAACTCACCCACAAATGGGGTACCAACTCCCAAAAAGACAGACCCAACTGAGGGCCCCGAGCTCCGGGGGCCTTGTTTAGCTGCGTAGCGACGGGCTTGCCCGGATGGAAGTGGCGTCCTTGCTGCCCGAGTCAACCAAAGGGGGGCTGCGGCAAAGGACCCCGTCCTGAAGGACGATTCTCATTTCTAAGCCTCGTGACGGGGCCAATTCAGCGTGGGGTTCAGTTTTATAGTTGGGTAAGTGCTGTTACAGGCAAACACGCATTTCGAAATGGGAACCTTTTAAGCGTCCTTGTTCCTAGCCCCGATTGACCGTCTCAAATGAGTGCTTTCCGTGTGCTTTCCCTGCGGAAACGCTCTACAAAGGCGGTCGCCTCAAGAAAGACAAGCCCATTGGCCTCTAGCTGGTTGATTTGTAAGGGGAACCCGCACCGAAGCCGAACGGCTGGACTCAGATGATGAACCGTCCTGATTGCTTTCTTGGGGTCCCTGTCAATTGGGCTAATCATTAGGCCCATTCTCACCAAAATGGTGACACGCACACACACCTGGCTTTTTATTTGCCCAAAGCGATGAATTCAATCAACCTGCAACCTTTGGGTTTTTGTTTTCCCCTTTTGGGTTCCTATTTTTTGTCATGGGTTTCAAAAAGGTTGAATCTCTGTTTTCTGGGTCCCTACCAGTATGCAGGAAATCGCTTACGGGGCTTATAAGTTACTTATCTAACTTATAAGTCACTTATGAAGCAGTTAACTTATGCAAGTTAAAACGAACTTATAAGTTCACCCTAAGTTACTGGGGCGGCAGCCGCGGCAGTACTTTTTTTCCACAACGCATTCTCGGCACGGGTGTTGAGTTCGCGCTATATACACATGAAGCCACCAAACAGCGGCAAGGTTATAACTAGTGCAGGCAGATCAAGTCCTGGTCGCACGTGGTCCACATAGCCGGAATTGTAGAGGGGGCGTCCACGCTGGGCCGCGTTAAGATCTCACACTCAGTGTGCCGCCAGACGGAGCCGCGCGGGTGGTCAGAGTGGCGCCTCAGTTCGGCGAGTCGAGGCCTTCGGGGCCGCAGTCTCCGCCATAGCGTGCGGGCAGCTGCGAGGAAAAAAAGCAAGAGAAACAAAGCAAAGGAGTCTCGAGCCGAGAGAGAAGCGCAAGCAAAAACCACAAAAACATGCGCCGACAAATGCCGACAGTGGCCGACGTCAGGGGTTCCGGGGCCCTACTACTACGGCACGTGACGCCGACATGGGGGGGTGCTACGAATCCAGGGTGCCAAGAAAACCTCGCCGACAAATGCCGACATTGGACAATTTGAGTTATAGCCCGAAACACAAAGAGCCGCAAAAAAACAAAAGACGCAAAAGAAAACCCCCGCAGAGAAGTCTGCGCAGATGCCAGAAGCTTCTCTCTGCCACCCGGGTCGGCCGCGGCCGCGGGGAGGCACCGTGACACGGCTTGCAGACAAGCCAAGGCCATTGCGCCGCGCAAAGCAAAAGCTTGAACCAGCAGCTGCGGGAAAACAAAAAAGAGCCAGAAGCAGCGGCGGAAGAAAACAACGAGCAAAAAGCAAATACAAGTTTTCTACTCTGGGGACACAGAAAAGCC